TTCCCCAATCATCACCATGCCGTGGTCGACACTTTCCCACGACGTGGCCACTGTTCATTGCAACTTTTTGCAATATTTTACACCACAATTTAGAAGTTTGTGATCTTGGTTCATTTTCCGACACAATCAGAAAGCAGAAAACTTCAGTTTCCAGCTTACACATTTTAGAAGTCGGTGATGTTGGCTACTGTTCAGTGCAACGTTTTGCCCACAACAATCAAGTCGATCTAGCCACTACTACCCCAAAGGAGTTTGTTCTTTTCTCTCCCTCTTATAGTTTTTATGTGCTTTATTTTATTTTATGCATATAGGGCATTGTATGATATAAGTGTAGGGTAGGGGGTCAAAAAAGAATTTCCAGCATTAAAATGTTTTATTATTGAAAAATGCTAGATTTATAATTTTTAGGTTTTCATAAACTTCCAAAAATAGTCTAATTTAGAAAATCTAGTACATTTTAAAATTTTGATATTTTTGTGTTAGGACTAGTTTGCTAGTGTTGTGTGGGATGATTCAGTGAGAACTCTAAAATTTAGTTGAGCTTATATTTTATAGTGTATTTGTGGTATCCCAGTTCTAAAGAAATCATGAGACAAAAATGTGACCTTGTGTAGGTTGAGGGACATAATATGTTTTGCATTGTGTATACATTTAGACCTAATAAAAGCCCGCAGAAGAAGATTCATTTCCTGGTTCCCGAGTTAAAATAGGGTGAGTCAAGTTCCAAGTAGTATCTGTTTAATTTCTACACTTTGAGTGTACTTAATATATGAAATAAGTAATAGTTCAAGAGTGGAGTCAATCTGTGGCATTTGAGACTCGGTTAGTATTCTCCCAAGGGATATTTATATCTATCCACCTATTTGTATAAGCTTGGATGGATGGGAAGAAACTCGTTACATGGGTTTCATCGAAAGTCATGGATATCATTAGTGTCCTAAGGAATTTCGTGTACCCCATGAATTTCTTAGAAAGTCGCGAACTATAGTATAGTAGCAACAACGTTAGAAATTACTTGTTTGCTTATATTTGTGAAAATTTGAAATTCGAAAAAGAAAGATATTTGAATAAGTTTAGTTATATTTTTAGGATATATATAATTTACTTTCTTTATTTTCTTTTTAACTTTTTCCTTTTAAGTCATGTCGCTTGGAACTTAATAATAACCTTTGCAACAAGTGAGGGTAATAAAAGGGTATGGATTGAAATGGTGCAAAAATGAATGTTGTTCAAAATAAGTGTGAGATGTTTATGAGAAAAGTGAGTATTTAGGACTTGGGAGGTAATTAGGATTTCTTAGACACAAATACATGCATTGAGGCGAGGCGTAATTGGAGAGTTCAAGTTGGATTGTTTTGTGCGATGTTAGTGAGCGATGTCTTAATTCGATTTTTCTGTGCGGTGTTGGTGAGCGATGTCGTTTGAGAAGTTTTCGATCATGTAGTTTTCGCACACACGGTCGAGTGAGCGGCTCAGGAAGCATTCTCGAGAGATTATACGGGAAAGATGTACTGGTGTACGTGAGATACAGGGTTGATTTACAGGATCAACAGAGGTATATTTTATCCCATTTTACGTAAATACGTTATTGTAATATTTTGTAGATGGGTGTTATACCCGAGTATGTATTACGGGATTTCGTGATACGGGGCTATTACAAACCCCAATGAGTAGTTGAATATTTAATGTGAATGGTAAGGGTTATATATCCGAGGTTACCGAGAATTTGTAGACTAGAATAACGACTTACGAGATTAAGTGGTTAGGTGATTATAATTGGAAAATTGATTAGTTTGGTAACAAATGGTTACCGGGTTTTGTTAGAGATCTGGTAATTGATCATTGTGGTTGATATAGTGGTAAGTTTAGACAAGTTCTAATGAACTTGATATATTGTTCAAATAGGCCTGGACAAGTGATGGATTGGAAAGCGGTAGAGAGTTTGAGATTAGAATGATAATTAGTCTTCACTAACTAGTCGGGTGAGTAACTCTACTCTAACACTGGATGTTTATTGATGTGTATTGTTATACAAATATGAGAATCTAATAAATTGTGATATTGTTATATTATGTATCATTGAAGTGATAGAATCTTATAGTCAGATGAAATGAATTCAAGTGATAGTTGGTTTATAAAATGGAAAATAAATGTGAGACAATTACTTTGGACAGGGAATTCCTTAAGGTCTGATTGTAAAACAATGTTAATGTATTGCTATATGATTACTTTTATAGTTAGTGACATCAATAGCTAATTAGTATAAATTTAATTAGCATATGGATTGTGATGTATACGTTGGTCAATAATTTAAATTACTAAATAATTACGTGTGGTTATGTTATTTTAGTTGTTATTTACTAAGCTTATGGCTTACAGTGTTTCTTATTGCTGTGTTGCAGGTTAGATTGTTATAGCGTCTAACTTGTATCTTGTACTTGATGACAGTACGAGTATGCTAATGTAGAACGAAATGTTTTTTAAAGCTGTAAATAAAAATTGAATTTTATTTGGGTGTACATAGTGTAAAAAAATGGACGTACATAACCTAGCAAGAACTAAAACACCAAATTATAAGTCAAACAAGAATAATAATGGAAAGAAGTTGCATAACCGTTGATGCTTCTCTCTTGATATCACAAAATTAAAAGTTGACAGCAGGTTGTAAAATCACAAAGACAAATGTAGAAATGAAAAAATATCGATAGAGAAAAGAAAAAGTGTACTAGATGGACATTTCTTTTCTGGTGCATATGAATAGAAGTGTATGATGAGAAATTTATTTCTTTTCTGACAAAGATGTAAAATTGGTCCCGCGGTATGTAAAAAATTGCTATTTTGGTCCAAAAAGTTTTGAACTAGCACCACCGGTCTAAAACTTTAATTTTAGTGTTAGTCCAAAATTTGATTTTATTGCTGACTTTGGTTCATTTTTTTTTAACATATTTAAAATGACAGATTTTCCCTTCTTATTTCTTATTTTTATTTCTTTTATTAATTTTGATTTTTCCTTATTAAAAACTAATATATATATATATATATATATATATATATATATATATATATATATATATATAACTCAAACCCCTAATAACCCCTATTCCACCCACATATACAAACACAATATCTCTTTATGTCCTTATTTTATTAGAGACAACAACCACCGCCGCTGACCCACCACTGTCGTCGGTCGGCTACCGTCTACCGGATCACCATCATAGTCGGACCACTGTCACTGTCGCCGTCCTCGGAAAATCGTTTCCATCGCCTTGTATCTGGTGCCACTATCACCCTCATCGTCCTTTTTTACAACGTTGCCATCATTGGACCACCAAATCTGACAACAACTCGTTGGAGTCGCCATACTCATCAAGATCATAAAATTGTTTGAATCCTACTCGTCCCAACCATCACCACTTCTTTCTCCGGCGAACCCATAAAGAAGACAACAATCACGCCGTCGTTGGAAACCCCAACCATAGCGTCGTCAAAGACAAAGTGCAATGACGACAGAGTTGTTAGAGATCTCACATATGATTTCTAGATCCGCGACGACGACGATAACGACGACGATGATAGTGACGTTCAACATATACGAAGACGAAGACGATGATTGTGTCTACCACCGAAAACAACGATCACAATCACCACCGACCGATTAGCGTTTTTGACGGCAACAGGTGAAGTCAACGACGAAGGGTTGGCCAGCGGTGCTAAAAATCAACGGAGAAGAAGAGAATACGAAGGCGAGGGCGAGCCACGGTTTGCTAAGGAAGCCTTCGACGAGTTTCCAAACAAAGTCGTTGTCGAGTTTCTGGGTGACGCAGATGAAGCCGCTACCGTCGAGTTTAGTGGACGATACCAGAGCAACAAGACCGAAGCAAGGGTTTGCACACGTTTACAGATTAGCTGCTCCATTCTCTGTTTTCTTCTCTGAAGATGTCGACGTCGGATGATGTAAGGGTTCTGGCGAAAGCTTTTCGTCGGTTGTCCAATGACGGTGGTATCCGACCGAAGGTGGTGGTGGTCTGGGTGCATTAGAAGGAGAGAGATAGTGTTTGTGTGTTACAAGAGGGGTGCGGTAGGGTTATTAGCAATTTGGTTTGTATTTTCTTTTCTTTTTCTTTAATTTTAAATTGGAAAAATAAAAAAATTAAACAAAAATAAAAAAATTAAACAAAAATAAAAAAATAAAATTAATAAGGGACAAATCTGTCATTTTAGAAAATTTCAAAATAAATTGGACCAAACTCACACAACAAAATCTAAGTTTTGGACTAGCGGTGCTAGTCCAAAACATTTTGAAAAAAAATGAAGTAACCATTAAGGACTATTTTTACAGTTTTGTCTTTATTTTCCTTTTCAATCAGCAAAAAATGGGTCGATGATTTTGAGAAGGAGATGCTAATCATTTATTTCCATTCCTAAAAATAATCAAGAATACCTTTCTCTTTAAAGCAACTTCAACAATTTCACTAAAAAACATTGAAATTGTGTGTTTTTACCATCTAACTTTTTTCCCACTCCAACCACACTAACGATTTACACTAAAAATATCTTTTAATATTATAATATAATATAAAATAATTATTAAAGTTGTCAAAGTTATAAAAACTATTAAATTAGTTTTAAATAATTCAAAAAAGTATTTTAATGTGATTAATACTGTTATAAAAAAAATATAGATGTTACTATTTAATCCTTTGAGTTTAGTGGTCTATTAGAATGTATTTTCACACCAAAACAATAGTTTTATGTATCCATTGGAGTTGGTTTTAACAATCATTTCCTTTGCATCTTTAAAAAGCTAGAGAACATGGTGTTAAATATATAATTAAAGTCTAAAACGCCTAACTTTTATTTATTGATCAACTTAGTTTTCTAAGTACGATGGTATGATGCAGACTATCCATTATCCGGAGGTCCTACCCGAGTACTTGGCGACAACTGGCTAGTACTTGGTCAAATTACATGTGCCAATGAATTGGGTCAAATTTAACCTTTTTTATTCCTAGAAAAACAGGTGTTATCTTGGAATGTTCCTAACATGGCTGTCGTCCATCCGGGAATTTTCTGCATAACAAAACTCGAATCAAGTCTAGTCCAATTGCTTTCTTTCTCAAGTTACAATTATAATTCAAATTTCATTAGAAATCGTTGCTCATCTTCTTTGATCCCTTAAATTTCGTAAGTTCGAGGGAACAAAGAAAAACATAGAGAAAAATGGAGACCTTAATACCCACATGGCAAGCATCGGTTTTGGGTGGGGTTTTGGCATGGATTATGGTGTCTTCGATGTTCAATGTGACGCGCATAATTAGATCTTTAACCCAACCATGGGTGTCGAGTTGCGTAATCTCCGGTATTCCAATTATTCTCCAGATCCAGGTATGCGCACCATGTGTTTGATCATATGACAATAAGAAGTTTGACATTTTCAATTACCCGTGTCCATTCATCTCATCAATTTATGACTTTTTCAAAAAAAAATTCAGCTGAATTATTACTTTCTGCTTGAATCTTTCATGCGTATTTGCAGAAAGCCCCCATGTCACTAATCTCATCTTGTTTTTCATCGTGCTGAATTCTTGATCAATTGCATATTTTGCAGAAATACCAGCATACGTTTTTGGATGCGTTATTTACTGGTTTATCTTGTCTTGTTTCTGTCCCTTTCTATACCGGCTTCCTTCCCTTGCTATTCTGGGTAATTAAGTAATTTCACTTCTTCTATATGAAATTTCTAAATAAAGACATTATGCCTCTGAAAAATGCAATAAATCGGTGATGATTTTATATTATAGAGTGGACATGGGAAACTCGCAAGGCAAATGACACTTCTAATGGCAGTTTGTGATTACGCAGGAAACTGTATAAAGGTATACAATCAAATTCTTTCTTGATTATATTCTTTCTGAATGCTATTTTGGGCTTATATTTATGATTTATCTTTCTTATAAATATTTGCTATATTTTCTAGGATGTAGTGTCAGCTCCTAGACCCAAATCTGTGAGGATACTCACTGTAACTTCAGATGAGAAAGATTTTGCCATGGAATACGGATTGCCTTCTTCACATACTCTTAACACAGTCTGCTTATCAGGGTATGTAATAACAATATGTTCATTCTTTTCAACCTTTTTCCATTTGACTTAATCCATTAAGTTATTATAATTATAATCTCTTTTTGGGATTTTCAGGTACCTCTTCCATTACATCTTGTCATACAATGAAACCTCAAATGCATCTTTTCATCTTCTAGGATTTGCATTCGTTTGCGTGTTTGTAGGTCTTATTGGATTAGGTAAGTTTCAAAAACTTTTCTTATTGCCCCCTTTATCTTTTAATATATTTAATTAACTTGATTTCTTAATCTTTTTTTAGGAAGAATATATCTTGGAATGCATAGTGTGATTGACATCATTTTTGGTCTTTTTCTTGGATTGGCAATACTTGCATTTTGGCTTTGTGTCCATGAACATGTTGACAAGTTTGTAGTTTCAGGACAAAATGGTACGTGACATGACATATCAGATTGTACTGTGTTTGAGACTGATGTCAGTGGAACAAAAATTGTGTAAAAGACGTAAATGCCCTTGTCATCATATTAATGTGTAGTTATGTTTTGCAGTTACATCCTTTTGGGCTGCACTTAGCTTCTTGTCACTATTTGCGTATCCAACACCAGAGCTTCCAACTCCAAGCTTTGAGTATCACACTGCATTCACAGGCGTTGCTTTGGGAATTGTAAGAATATAACTTTATTAACTTCCATTTCTATAAGAGTAAATTACACGAATGGTCCCTATGGTTTGGGGTAATTTGCACGTTTGGTCCCTAACTTATTTTTTTAACTCGGAAGGTCCCTATAGTTTGTTTTTGTTGCGCACTTGGTCCCTGTCTTACCTAAAAAGACTATTTGCCCTTGAATTTTTAATTTATTTAAATAAACACACCCCAACCCCACTTCCACGTTACATTATCTTACCTTACCTAGCCCACCTTATTTAAATAAATAAAAAAAATCAATGACAAAATAGTCTTTTTAGGTAAGACAGGGACCAAGCGCGCAACAAAAACAAACCATAGGGACCTTCCGAGTTAAAAAAATAAGTTAGGGACTAAACGTGCAAATTACCCCAAACCATAGGGACCATTCGTGTAATTTTCTCTTTCTATAAAGAATACAACCATTCCATTTTGAATTTCCCCATGAAAATTTTATTATTAGAAATGTTTTTAACTTGTAATCACCTATTTACTCATCATCATAATCATCATTAAGAATGTTAATGGTGTTAGATTTAGGTTCTAACGATTCTTCAATTGTATTTTAGAAAGAGTGAAATTTGTAGATTTAATATTTTATCGATTTAGTCACTTAACTATTTAGGGTTTAATCACTGCAACAAATAGTTAAGTGACTAAATCGATAATATGGTGAAAGTACATTTTTCCTTTTAGAAATCTTCCCAAATGCAAATTTCACAAGTGGAAAATTGTTTTTAATGAGAGAAAGATGCTAAAAATAACAAATTGGTTTGTATAATCATGTGAATATATTGATTAATCTATTTCTATTATATTAATATTATCCAGGTGACTGGGGTCCAACAAACATATGATAACTTCCACCATGAACATGTGCCACGTGTATTCACTTCTCAACTACCATTAGCTGCCTTTTGTTGTAGGATCCTAGTTGGCATCCCCACCATACTCCTAGTGAAATTTTGTAGTAAAGCTCTTGCAAAATGGATTCTACCAATTACAGCAAATGCATTGGGGATTTCTATAAAATCTTCAGGATATGTCCCGGGTTTGACCGGTTCTTCCATGGTCAAAAAGTCAAACGAAGTCAAACAGTCAAATGGGTATCTCCAGAAAATGTTGTTTTTTAGTAATCAAGATTCGTTCGATGTGGATACAGGAATAAGGTTGCTTCAGTATGCTGGTCTGGCTTGGTCTGTGGTGGATCTTGTTCCTTCAATCTTTTCTCAACTTAATTTGTAATCATAATTCTTTGATTTTTTTAGGTGTAGTTAACAATAGTTGATATATGTAGACATTAATGTATATTGTTTGTTTGAATTTATGTAATATAATTCAAGTATTTTTGTAATTGATATCATCTTGATACAAGAAGTTTAAGTTAAAAACATTAAATTTCCAAATGTTAGAAACTAAAATATAGATATGCATCATATCATATTATCATTCATTTGTTGTTAGTTTCGTCCCTCAATTAAAATCGATACTGTTTTTATTCCTAGTCGTCGCTGATTTTATCATTATCTTCTTCACCTCTTTTGCTTCCATCATTTTTTTTTATCTTTCTCCTTCCCTTTCTAGATAACGTCTGCCTTTTTTCAAACATTCCACATACATCGCCTCAAGATATTGTAACTATACTCATGTTTCCATCTTTAATAAGCTTCAGAGGATAGTTATATATCTGAACTTAACATGTGTGAAACCCTAGAAACAAATTTTTCAGGAACCGACACTTTATTGTGTAAACAAATTTTTCAGGAACCGACACTTTATTGTGTTGGACTGATCGTTGACATGTACTCAGATTAGTTAGCAGTTGAAGATAATTGAAGATAGAAAAGACATTTAAAAGGTGTGAACTATCACAACCAATCAATGGACATCTTATTATCACATTTTCATATCAAGCGCCCGTCCAACATGCCACCTCATTACCCTTATATACCTTCTTGGGAAGAACTTTGGGCGCCCAAAAATTTTGGAGTTGGGACTAGCGAGGCACATGGAGATGAGGATAATGAATGAACTCTATCCTTTTTAGTTTTATTTTTGGTTTGATTTATTTAGTTTGTTTTTATTTTGGTGTGTTTTATTTATGTTTGGTTTGTTTTATTTTGAGCATGTAACCGAATGGTATGATGTTTGTTTTCTTGTTTCAATCGAGGATTTTTATTTATTTTTGATGATCGCAGAGTTATTTAATAGTCGAAAAAAGAAAATTTTGTGAGAGTTTAGAGTTTAAAATCGGAGACCACAAACTTTGATAAGTGTGGGGTGCTATTGGAGTGAGCTTGAGAGTTAGATAGAATTTACAAAAGAAAACAGAGGTCTTGAAATGGATCTTAGGTCATTGAGAACTAAAATGAAGAGTTCACATCAAGAGCATTTTGGCAGCACCTATTCTATGAAGATCCAATTTTCACGACGTGACCTTTCCTTTGTCACGTCGTGACCAACTTATATATAACGATTCATAATTTAAGATTACATTCTCATGACATGGTTGTTATCCTGTCACGTCGTGAGCTTTAAGCAAAATGCAATCAAGATTTCTCAGCCTCTACCTCACGGCTCACGACGTGATGCTTACTCTTACATGTCGTGATCGAAGTTCGTTACTTTATTTTGAAGCTTTTAGCACCACATTTTTCGAAGTTAAAGTCTTTGGTTTATTTTTATCCGACACATTTACGAGAAGCAGCAGGAGTCTAGTTTTAGCAAAATATTCAAGCTGTTAAAGCTTTCCCGCCACACCTAGATTCAATCTCGCCACTACTAGATTCAAGTTTTCCCTTTTATTTGTTTTTATGTGCTTTTAATTGTTGTATGCATATAATGAGGGCATTTTATAAAATAAGTGTGGGGTAGGGGGTCCAAGAAGGATTTTTCAAGCATAAAAGTAATTAGAAAAATGCTATAAATTTAAAAAATTAATAGACATGTGAAAATAGTCTAATAAATCTAGTCATTTTTAAAATTTGTTATCATTGCATTTGGGCTAGCTTGCTAGTGTTATACGGGATGATTCGATGCGAACTCTAAGATTTAGTTGAGCCAAAATGTTATAGTGTATATATGACTTCCTAGTCTTAGTGAAATCGTGAGACAAAAGCGTAACATTGTGTAGTTTAAGGGACATAAAAAGTTTAGCATCGTGTACCAGAAATGTATCCAGGAGAGCTTATGTAGTCATATCACTTTAGACTAATGTCTTTAACCAATAACAGTTAAATTTAAGATTTTAAGCTTAAGCATATGTTTTTCTGTTTAGGTTTTTAGTTGAGTGAAAAAAGTGAGATGAAAAAAAAAACAAAAAAGTTATCAAAGTTTTGTGAATAAGAGCTTACAAAGAATGAAGATCGGGATTCAAGATGAAGAATAAAGCAAATTTGCCAAAAGCCAAAGGCTTATTTGTAATTTTTCTTTCTAGGTTATTTTAGCATATGTATGCTTGAGAGTTTAACCAAAAATACCTTGAGGCCAAGAAAGTTTTTTGTGGATCTATTCGGAGGGATGCATAAAATGAATTTTGTTCAAAATAAGTGGAAGTGTTTATGAAGATTATAAGTATTAGGGCTTGGGAAATATTTAGGATATTTTAGAAACCAATACATGCATTCAGGTGATGCATAGTTAGTGGATTCTGATCAGATTATTTTGTGTGATATTGGTATGCAAGGTTCTATGTGATATATTAAAAACAAGTTTTGCTTGAGGGCAAGCAAAAGACAAGTGTGGGTTATTTTGATATTGTCATATTTATACACATTTTAAGCATTATTTTAATACATTTAAGTTATATTTTTTTGGTAAAATGCAAAGATATTTGATAATTATTTTGTTAAATTGTATTTTGCAGCCAAAAAGGATACTCTTGATAAAAAAAAAGGATTGAAATCGACAAAATCTAGATACTTGGTGGACTAGAGCTGAAACTAGGAGCTTCAAGGAGAGAAAATCATGTTTTATACATTTCCTACAATGTGGTAATAAAAAGCCCACAACGTGGCATTTGGAAGAATCCTGATTTCGTGCATGAAAAAAAGGCTCACGACGGTACACTAAAACTTTCACGTCGTGACCAAGTTTCCTAATAAGATTCATATACGGAAATGTAGTTTCCTTGGCTCATACGGGATATACATTGCTTTTCATTTCGTGACACCCTTATGGTCACGACATGAAAGTTGATTTTATGGAAACTATAAATATCAATCGTTATATCGACTATCGGAGGATGGAGACTAATTTTGAGGCAGAAAGTTGCGATTGATGAAGAGAAAATACCTTTCTAGGACACTTGGAAGGCTTAAGAAGATTGAAGATCAAGATATTAGGAGATTGGAGCAAAGATTTCACTTCATTCATTCGGTTTGCTTAGATTTATCATGCCTAGTTTAATTTCCTATGTGTTTATGTGTTTCTTTTCTACAATTATGAGCTAAATCATTAGGCTTTTGTTTAGTAATGATGAACCCTAATAGTATGTGTTAGTTTCTATCTTTCATGGATTTTATGATGTTGGTTTAGCTTGTGTTTGATATATCAAAGCCTAGCATGTTAATTTTTTCAATCTTTGTTGCTTAAATCTTCAAGTTTTTTGTAGTTGAATGATCACTTTAATTGCATGAACTTGTTACCTAGTTTTTTATGAATATTAAATTGCTAGAGCTAGAGATTGATCAAATCCTAGAATATGTAATAAAGATAGTAACTTTAAGTGTGCTAGAGAACATAATTTGATCATAATTATGTTTGGTTATTTGTCTAGATCAAAGATAATTAATCTTAGATATATCCTACATAGCCCAATAAGATTAATATTCAACTTAGTGTCCACTTGTGTAAGACCATTGCATAGTAGTTCATGAATTGGTGAAAACATTAGAAGATCGGACCAATACTTCTAATAACTTTTATTTTGGTAACCAACTGAAATTAATCCGTGTCTTGAAACTAATCATAGGAAAAAGGAGGATTCAAAGCTAAACAGAAGTGTCTTTATTCTCTTGATTACAATTGTCTTTTGTTATTTGCTTGCTACAAGTTTAGTTCTAGTTGAGTAATTAAGTTAATATGATCTTGCAAAATCAGATAAAACCCCCACTTTAGTTGTTTACTTAGATTATTTTTTAGTAATTATTTATTAGCTAAATTTCGTTCCCTGAGATCGACAACCGAATTACTTTTCTATATTATAAACTGACTAGGTACACTACCTATAAGTGCATTAGTAGTTATGTTTTGTTAGGTTATAAATTTAAAACTATATGTATATCTGTGCACATCAGATCCAAATATCCTATTCACCGATTTTTGATAAGTAAATGGTTGATTTACATTTTTTGTTCCTAAAAGGGGTTTCTATTGGTGGGCTTAATTATTAGTGGAATAACTATTCATAGTAATTAAAATTCAATTGAAGGTAGATGAGTGCCTCATGTATTGTCAAAATTTTAACGATCCTACGAGTATATCAATCTCGAAGATTGTAAACTTCTTTTGTATAAAAAATACAATTAACACGTAGATGTTTTACATAGAAAATACTAGTTAGGTAGATTTCGGGTACGGTACTGAGTACTTTGCCCTTGGCATTTCCTCATTGGATTTCCTTGATTCCGGACAGTCTTTCTCGAAGTGGTTTTTCTTTCCGCATCCAAAACGTCCTTGTTCATCCCTAACACTTGCTTCAGCGTTCGCTCTGCTTCAACATTGTTTGTCTTTGTACCCCGTCCTGTTACAATGATAATAGAATAATTATGTGCATTTTCCTAGATGGTGATAACCATATGGATCGCATGTGGGGAAGTTTCCTAAGTATCCCCTTAGTGGAGTGGCTGGTGTAACATGAGATTTCTCGATATCTTGCTTTTTCCATGAGGATCGACTTGAGTTTCCCTTGGAATCACCATCATATTTCCTCTTATTATCCTTGACCTTTTATGAATTAGCCCTCCTGGCCGTTACTCCTCTACAGTAAAATTGTTATGTTAGGCTGAATGAGAACTCTTTAGCATTGTGGTAGGTGTCAGGTCTGTAACATCCTGTTTCGAGAAGTTTCTTATTTCTGGATTATGGACAACAAATGGATCAATTAAAGGCCTTGGGCTTCAAGGGAATAGGTTTTAGACCATATTAGATGTTGATAATATTGACTATGTGATCCAAGCCCTTAGTTTATGTAAGTCCCAAAACTTGAACCAACTAGTGATCAATCGAAATCAATAAAGCAAATGATGAATCAAGAAAAATAGATCAAGAAGAAGAAGCAAAATCAATCCAAATGCACACGATTGT